TTCTCTTATAACCAAATGAAACTAAAGAGTTTTGATTTATTTTTTTTCTTAACTTGATTCATTTTTTCAATCATTTTAAATTGTTTTTTCTTTTATTATCTTTATTTTATTTACTTATTTATTTTATTCTTTATTTCTTTTTGTTTTAAATACATTTAATTCAATCATTATCATCTTTTACTTTAAAAGTCTTTGATTTTATTCACAACTTACTACTTATTTATCAAATTTCATTGTATTAATGTAATTTTTCCCTTTCTTTTTCAATAACTTTTTTATTTATTAAAAATACAAATGGAGTTTATTCTTTAAAACTTATTTTATTAGTTGTTTTAATGAGAATCAGAAATAATTCAATGAACTGACATGTCTTTGTTAGAAGAAATAAGTCCCCTTCCTTCATTTGAGGTAAGTGGAATGGTTATTAGTTTGTTTTCATTATATCACAAGAGCCTTGGTCCAGTGCCTACATATTAACTAAACATTAATCCAGCTACTCCATCATTTATTCTTTTGAAAGATGAAATAAACACAAACTTATCAAATCCTATTTTAGAGGATAGTTAAATTATGTACTGTATTATTGAAGTATATATAAATTATAACATGGTAATAATACCAATAAAAACTATTTCTTTGACTGATAACTTGGTGTTATTCAAATAAATTAGGAACTATTCCACAACAATGAGTTTATTTAATTTTGTTGTAAATAAAAGTTAAATGATTCTATTCTTATTCTGTTGAACTAGTTAAATTGGAAAAGTTTTAAAAACTATTAGAAATAAAACCTCTTAAATTAATTTTATCCTTTTATTACAACATGATTAATCAATGTGAACTGATGATAAGTATGTTTCATTAAATGAGTTTTGATTTTGTTCTTTATTTTCATTATACCATGGACAAATCCAACTAAGAAATGATACTCCCATGATTGATTGCCAATTTTTTAATGTTCCATTGTCATAATTTGGAAAATGAGGTGCTTTATGGTGGGAAAGACATTCATACCGGACAAGTTCAATGTCTTCCATTGATGACATATTTTTCGAGAGTAAGTATGAATAATGGTATGCCAGAGATGCAACAGCACAACTCATTGAGAACATAATCATTGCACTTATTAATGAAAAAATAATAATAAATACATTTCCTGGTGATGGTTCACTGAGTCCAGTTTGCATTTGTTTGACAAGATACCATATTTGAATAACCATTCCAGTAAGTCCATTAATAGGGAGATAGTAAAGAAATTGAATAAAATACCGATGATTGTTTTGACCTACACACTGCCCAATCCATGGACAATGATGATCTCTCCTTAATACACAACACCCACATTCTGCAA